TCGGTTGAAATGTCTCGTGATCTGTTCCCCGAAGTCGAAACCCTTATGTCGACCGCCAACCCTTATATTCGACGGAAAGCAGCGATCTGTGCCATGCGGATATGTCGCAAGGTTCCGGACCTGTATGAGCACTTCCTCGAGAAAGCTAAGAACCTGTTGTCGGACCGGAATCATGGCGTCCTTCTCTGTGGTTTGACACTGGCGATTGATCTATGTGAAGCGGAAGAAGAGGATGATGAAGAAGGTGGACCCACGGGAGTGATCGAAATGTTCCGGCCATTGGCAGGAGGATTGGTTCGAGCTTTGAAGGGGCTGACAACCTCCGGGTATGCTCCCGAACATGATGTGTCCGGTATCACAGATCCTTTCCTTCAAGTCAAGATTCTTCGGTTCTTGCGTGTATTGGGTCGGGGAGATGTGGCCACCAGCGAATTGATCAACGATATCCTGGCCCAGGTGGCCACCAATACAGATTCCTCAAAGAACGTCGGTAACTCTATTCTTTATGAGGCCGTTCTTACGATTCTGGATATTGAAGCCGACTCCGGTCTGAGGGTGCTGGGCGTCAATATTCTCGGCAAATTCTTGGCTAACAAGGACAATAATATCCGTTACGTTGCGTTGAACACCCTGAATAAGGTCGTTGCAATTGAACCAAATGCAGTGCAGAGACATCGTAACACGATCTTGGAATGCCTGCGGGATCCTGATATTAGCATTCGCCGGCGAGCGCTCGATCTCAGCTTCATGTTGATCAATGAAGATAATGTGCGGGTACTGGTGCGGGAACTGCTGGCCTTCCTGGAGGTGGCCGACAACGAATTCAAGTCCGTAATGACGACACAGATAGGCATAGCGGCCGATCGGTTCGCACCCAACAAGCGCTGGCACATGGACACCATTTTGCGGGTTCTCAAGCTGGCTGGGAACTACGTCAAAGAACAGATCCTGTCCTCATTCGTCCGTCTTATTGCGACTACCCCTGATCTACAGACCTACGCAGTACAGAAGCTCTACTCGTCATTGAAGGAGGACATCTCACAAGAGGGTCTCACACTGGCTGCGACATGGACCATTGGTGAATATGCCGATAGCCTACTTCAAGGTGGTCAGTACGAGGAAGAGGAACTGGTCAAGGAGGTTCGGGAGAATGATATTGTCGACCTCTTCACCAACATTCTCAACAGCACCTACGCCTCCCAGATTGTTGTCGAATACATCATCACTGCATCCATGAAGCTTACTGTGCGCTTGTCTGATCCCGCTCAAATTGAACGCCTACGCCGTTTGCTTTCCAGCCGAACCGCGGACCTGAGTGTAGAAATTCAACAGCGTGCCGTTGAATACACTAACCTTTTCGGCTACGACCAAATCCGCCGTGGTGTGCTCGAGCGAATGCCCGCGCCTGAGATCCGTGAGGAACAACGGGTACTAGGTGCTACTCCTGCTGCTAAGAAACGCCAGAGCAAGCTTCTCCGTGGCAAGTCCACAGCTAAGGTCGCCAAACCTGCAGAGCATGACCTACTCCTTGACCTGGTTGGCGGATCCGACGCCCCTGTTACGAGCCCTACCTCAAACGGATCGAACACCGCCGATCTGCTGGCAGACATTCTTGGCGGAGACTCGGGCATGTCATCTCCCTCGCCAGGGCCTGCTGCCCAAAAGAACCCGAACAGTGCCATCATGGATCTGTTTGGCTCCAGCGGTCCTTCGTCATCACCTCAGCCCACACAGCCCACATCTGCCTCGATGGATCTGCTGGGTGCAGGAGGCTTGGGTGCCTCTACGCCTTCGCCCTCCGTCTCTCCCGCACCTGTCACTGCTTCGACCCCTGCACACACCGCGCTGAACAAGGACGGTCTCGTCCTTACCCTGCAGGTCCAACGAAGCGGCAACAACGCCCAGATTCTGGCTCGTTTCCGCAATGACTCCAACTTCGACCGATTCACCAGCGTCGGCTTGCAAGCTGCCGTGCCAAAGAGCCAGCGGTTGCAGCTGAGCGCAATCAGCAAGGCTGATCTAGATGCCGGCGACGAGGGCACACAATCAATGCGTGTGACCGCTCTGAATGGGGTATGTCCTTTTTTTTACTTGCTGTCTTATACCTTTCCTTTCTTTTGGGTCTCAAACTAACTTATTTCCTCCAGGGTCTTCCTGCCAAACTTCGCCTCCGTCTTCGTGTCACTTCCGCCCGCGATGGTGGAGATCCCGTCACCGACCAAGTGGACTGGTCCGAGCCGTAAATCAAATCGTTGGCAGTAATGCTAAAAGTTCATCCGAACGAATGTTTAATTTTTCCATGAACAGTCAAATCCAGTTCTATACACCCTAGTTTTCTTGCATCCTCTATGCTTTTGCTATTTATCTAGACTTTTGTTTGCCATTGATTTCCTTTTCTCTTGTATTGCGCTTCATTACTTGGAGAGAGGGATTGTTGTTATTGTACATGCTTCAGATGAAATTTTTAGCGTATGAGAAAGCATAGGGTATTGCATCGAGTCCATGTAGTTAGTGGCCCATAGAGAGTTACCAGTAGTGTGTTCCTATATGTGCTCATATGATAGTAGTATATGTTAAAGTGCATTGCAACAGCTATGTGCAGACTAAATCCGAAAAAAAAATAAGCCAAAAAAAAAAAACATTTAGAAAGCAAGGCTCTATAGCTTCAAAAGAGATTTCAGATCAACTGCAGCCTCCGCAAGAAAATCATAAAAGTCAGTATATAATACCCAAAAACAAAAAGGCAATTACATAACTCCATCGCAAGAAAACAAAGGAACACAAGGTCGTGTGATTTATCCAAAATCCAAGGCATGAGCCCAATCTATAAAGCAGAACCGGAATATACCGAGACGCCAGAATGGTATATAATATGGAGAGCAAGTCCAAAACAAGCAGCCAAGCTAATCAGATATGTTCAATGGGGCCTTCGGGGAGCAGCAACTCTCCCTCTCTCCGGTCACGGGGCAAACAAGCCTTGAGCGGAGGTTGGATGATATCATTGAACAGGAAAGTTCCATAGACAAGAAGCGCGAAGCCGACAACTTGAAGCCATTTGAAGGTCTCCCAGCCGAGTCCAAGCGATACAAGCCAGATAAAGAGCGTACGGCAGGTGTCGATTGTGCTACGGGAAGTAGCGGAGACATTGCGGGTGACAGACAGACCGAAGAAGTTGAAGCCACTGGAACAAACGTTAGAGACGGGGGTGAGAACAGGAGGCTGAGAAGCAAGATCAAAACATACCCGATACTGATCATGATAAACACGCTGGATATGGCAACATTGCGGTTATAGAAAACCTGGCGCAATCCCTCCTTGATATCAAAGTAGCCATATTGGCCGGCATCGGTCCTTCCAACAGCAAGATACATGACCACGATACCGACGACAGTAACCGAAAATCCGAACACACCTTCCCAACCCACGACCTGGATCGGGTCCATGGCGTAATTCTCCAGAATCCACTCCTCCAGCACAAACTGCGAGGCTGTGAAGATCTGCGCGGCAGCAATAAGCAGCACACCAATGATAGCCTGGACAGCCTCGGGAGTCCGAGCAACATCACGCGCCTGCATAAGAGCATGCGAGGCCGCATCGACAACACCATCCTGGGTGATATCATGGCCTGACTCGCCACTGAATAGAGCTCCAGAAAGACCCACAATAGCCACACCTAGGACGACGATGAAGAGTGCGCTCCACTGGTATAAATGGAGTTTCTTGCGCAGGAATAGGACACTGAACAGGCCTACGAAGAGGACAAGGGCGCCCCGGGTCATTTGGTAGATACTGGCTGCCACGAAGAGGAGACCCACGTTCATGAGGGTCGTGCCGGCGATGTCGCAGCTCGACGGCGCTGCAAGAAGTAGGGTCTTCCATCCGCGGAGTGGGATGCGGCTGTCATCTTCGGCCAAGGGCTTGGGGTGTCTGCTGTCGCTATCGAGTCCATCGACGATATGGTCATCTTCGGGATCGATTCCGTCGTCATCGCCGTTTATCGGATGATATCCGCCAGTTAGGAGGGGTGAGGGGTCACTAGATAGGCGTGGTGCGATGTATTGGCGGTAGATGAAGTTCAAGGCGACAACTAGCCAACAGCCCATTTCACCTACAAACATTACGGCTCTGTGTTACCGGCTAGGTGTCAGCATTAATCGCTAGTGTCATGAACGCGAGGTGAAACCTACGTTTGAATTACCGGCTGCTCAAACAGCTTCCGCTGGCTTGGATCTGGAGAATCGCAGTTCCGCACGCATTGCATATCCTGTTCAAGATGGGGCGATAAGTTCGTGTCCCTGTGTAGATCTGAATCGAGGACGAACCTGATACTTGTTGAGAATAGTGTTGCACACTCCGGTCACGAGCATCATCGTGACCAGAAAGGGAATGAGGGCATTGTTTGCCATCTTGTCCCACTGTGATTCAATAAAAGTTACTCCAAGTGTCAAGCCCTGGAGAGGATCCAAAGATGAAGTGATCAGAAGGGAGGCCAAGTGAGGAGACAAAGCGGAGATAAGGTTATCGGAGCTTGGCAGCTGATAACATTTGTCACGGTACCTCGAGGTACCCGACATCAGTTTTGGCCTCACTTTGGCCTCATTTTGGCCTCACATTTGACTTCTACATGTACTCTCAAATCCTACATATGTATAAACTTCAAGATTTCCAAAAAAAAAAAAATATTAAGATATTCCAAATGAATAAATAATCCAGTTAAAAACCTCATCCCGCGGGTTTCTCCCCCCAAAACGCCATCGCTGAGGCCAACGGACAATCCAAAAGTCCAGAAATAATTAGAAACCCAAAAGTTGGATCCCCAAGGATCACAGGAAATTAACCAGGAGCCCTGCATAGTGTACAGACGCATCGCTCCTGAACCGTCGTATATACGCTGGAAACAAAGCCGCCGAAATAAAATGTCTCATAAACTCAGTCCCTCTTCATGTAGAACTAGCGCTGTGTGCTGTGTACATGGATATTCTCAATACAAGCCAGGAATTTCACTTAGGCATGCGAATTCTGATGCCTTCCCTCTCGTAGCGCGCAACAGCATCCCAGTCAACCTCAAGCTGGCCCATGGGTCCGATGCCCTTGACCTGGATCTCAGGCGGGATACGCATCCTCTCTGCAGCCAGTTGAATGGACTCATCGTCCCAAGGTTCATAAAACCTCTCTAAGAAAGCTGCCTCCTGGGCCTCATCTGGAGGAGTCAGACTAGCAAAAGCAGCCCAGTCATCATCCACCGGGGTAGCTTCATTGATATCGAAGTCCTCAAGTGAATCATAGCCCAGGTGAGGCAGATCCTTGCTCGCGAGATTTGAAAAGGTATCATGGATTGTGTCAAGTGAAGTGGGACAATCTGCCCAGGGGTCCTTCGTGTCGCTTTCCTCCAGTTTGATGACATCCTTCTTTCCATCCTTCTCAACAGGCTTCGTTCCCTTGAGAGACGACAACTGCGGGGTGGGCAGCTGAGTTGATGGAGCAGGAGATGCAGTCTTGGCTCCGAATTGGCTAGTGACCCTAGCCATAGGCGTGTTGTTAGAAATGAGAGGAGTAGCAATACTTTGTTTCGTGGGAGAAGCTGTTGCATTAGGCTTGATGGAAGGTGGCACGGGTGCGGGTGTGGCTGTCTGCTGGGTTTCCAGGCTATCATTGGGGTTCAGTCCAAGACCCATCGAGATACTTTCATGGTAATATTTGAGAGGATCCTCGATCACCTCTTCTTCCTCAGGTTGATGGCATTCTTCAACGTGCTTGTCCAAGACGGCTTGCGTAGGGAATCCTTGGTAGTGGTGCTGACACTCGACTACACTGCATTTGAAAGCATCTGCCATTGCTGCAGCATTGGACGTGGCGTCCGCCACCGCTTTGTTGTATTTTGCCGCTGCGCCAGGAGTTGCAGTTGCTTGAATTGGAGAAGATGCCACGCCATGAGACTGCTTTCGCTTTTTAGGAGGAGGCAGTTTGAGATTCTCAGGGGCAAGTCCGCCTGGGGCGTATTGGGGGACGCCCCTGGGAGATGGAGCCGCGAAAGGTGCAGTTGGGACATTTGCCACTGACTGGCTAGAGGCGCGTCGGGCCCGTTGGAGGGCCTCTTCCTGTGCCTGCAAATGCTGCAAGTTGGTCGCGTTCAGTGCTGGCATGTTACCTTGCAATGCCTGGGCGTTGGAGCCAGGGGGTTGGGAGACGCTAGGACGTTGACCTTGTTGTTGCATGCGAGAAATCATCACTGTGAACAACTTCCGCATAAAAAGGATTGCACCAGTGAGGTAATCTGAAGAAACCGTGAAATGATCATTCACAACCCAGTCCGGCGAGGGCTTGAACTGCCTCATCAATTGGATACGCTAAGTGAGATCAGATTAGTAAACAAGTAAACAATATTCTTCAAAGGAGAGCTTACCATGGCGAGAAGATTCTTCACATTCTTCTCCTGGCCTTGCATCTTTGCAAACCACTGTACAAGGGCATCCAATCGGCCAAGAACATCCAAGGCATCACGTAGTTGTTTAGTCATGGCGGCCTTCTGTTCTGGCGAGACAGGCATGGGCTTTGCAGGTGGAGCGTTCTTGGCGATGTCATTATAAACCTCCATGACCTGCGGTGGTAGGTTCCTGTTCCATGCCTCCTCCGCAGCAGCCCTGCTGAGTACCTGACCCCGACTTTGAGACTGTTGCCTCCGCATGTGAGCCTCAAACTGAGCTCGCTGATGAGGAGGCATTTGTGCAAGCTGTTCCTGCGTGAACGGGAGACCTGGACGCTGGGGGGTTGTCCCTGCGGCGCCTGGGACAGCCACAGGCTGGCTCATCTGGGGTGTAGTTGTGACTCGGGCTTCTGTGGAATCATCTGCACTAGGTCTCTTCTTTGAGGGCTGCTTCCCGGTAGCACCCTTGGAAGCTTTAGCTGCGGCCGCAGTCTGGGTCTTTGCATTCGCCGCCTGGGGAGTCGATTGCGGGGGTTGGGGATGCTGTGGCTTGATTTGTGGAATAGGCTGTGCTGCAGGAATAGGAGGTTGCGCCGGCGGTTGACTTAGCTGCCCAGGCTGCGTGCTTCCTTCAAGTTGCATTGCTCGGTTCTGTGCAGCCTGCATCATCTGCTTTTGGCGGTTTTGGTACAGAATCTTTTGAATCTGCTCATCGGTGAAGTTTGCCGCCTGGTGTCCAAACTTTTGGCGAGCCATCTGGATGTCTTGAGCGGAGATTTGCCGCATAGCTGCCATGTTGATAGCAGTGGGTTGTTGACCAGGAGGGAAACCTTGGGCGTTCGCAAACGGAGCCTGGGTGCTTTGGAATGGGGTTGCCGCTGAACCCTGGCCATTCTGGTCTCTGACTTGATTCGTGGAGGCTGAGAGTAGTTGACCAAGATGAAGCTTTTGGAGCATCATAAGGCGCGGGAGGTCGTTGGGACTTGCAACTTGAGGGTTCGAAATTGCCCACTGTTTGAGTTGGCCCCATGATTTTACGTTGTTAGGAACTTGCATCGAGGTGCCATTCATGTTCAGAATAGAGGGTGGGAAAGACACGCGGTCCATTTGCTTGCCCTGCTCAGGAGTCATCTCCACGCCGTTGTTTTGCTGCCGTAGCAGTTGGAGCTTATAGGCCTCATTCTGGCGTTGTTGACGTTGCTGTTGAGTCATTTGCTGGCCTTGGGGTATTCCCCCCGAGTTCAAATCCTGCGGGCCACCCATCGAGGCTCTCATCATGGCATTGCCCATCTGATTATTCATCATCGGTTGGGCTTGGCCTGGTTGAGGTTGCGGCTGTTGGCCGGGGTTGGCTCGGGCCATGTTGTTGAGAGCAGCACGGCGTTGCTGCATGATAAAAGCCCTGGCCTGTTCAGGGGGCATGCGAGCAAGTTGTTCCTGGATGTGGGGTGGGATGTTGGAAGGAATTTGGGGTGGGCCTTGCATCGCAGCCTGTCCTGCAACACCAGCTGGATGCTGGCCCATGTTCGCAGGTCGGGACGGTGGTCGAGCTTGAGCGGGCACCTGGACCGGAGACATCTGGCCCGGAGCCATGGGTTGGTTCAGCATTGGCATAACGGGGCTCTGTCCGTTTAGTTGCGGCTGCGATTGGGGTGTCAATTGGCTAGCATGGCCCGACATCGCCATCTGAGCCTTCTGGGCTGCTTGTGCACGCGCCTGAGCCTGAGCCTGGGCCTGAGACTGTTGTGCCTGGAACTGCATTCGATCCTGGGGAGTATTGGAACCACCCTGCAGATGCTGCTGGGCAAGAAACTGGGCCTGGGCGTTTGGGTTATTGGCGTTCATATTCACCTGGCTATTCTGGCCCATCTGTTGTGGGAACATATTGTTGTTATTATTCGGAAATGGGGCCTGGTTCATTTGCGAAGAGCTCGCAGGAACGACTAGCTGACCAGCCTCCTGTGAGCGCAGGCCATCTGCCTGCTGTCCCTGGATGTTTTCCACGTTGCCAATGAAGTTCGGGGGTTCCATCGTCTGGCCAGGATTTCCAGGAAATGCAGAATTACGTTGAAGGTTTAGCATGTTTTGAAGCATCTGTCGCTGGTGCTGAGAATTCATCATGGGGTCGCCCATCATATTACCATTCGCATCCACCCCAGCATTTGGCGCACGTGCCCCCATTTCCAGACGAGCGCGACGATGGCGTCTGATTTGGTTGAGGGCCTGCGAGCGGAAAAAATAGGTCATTGGCTCAAGATTTTTCCGTGCCAGGTATTGCCGCTGCTCGGGTGTCATGTTTGATAGATTCGATTTGATCTTCTCCATATCTTCCGGGCTAGTTTTGTTCAACATCTCGTTTGCCAGTCGAGAGACGTGGTCAAGATCTTGGGCTGAAAGCGTGCTGAGGTCGTCCACCATTGGAATGCCATTACCAGGACGTTGTTGAGCCCGCTGTTGCTGCTGCTGCTGCTGCTGCTGCTGCTGCTGCTGTTGTTGTTGCTGCTGCTGCTGCTGCTGCTGCTGCTGGATCATCGCCTGTGACTGCTGTTGCTGTCGTTGTTGCTGCTGCATTGCTGCCTGCTGGTTCTGCCCATTCATTCCCATTGCCATCTGCTGTTGGCCAGAAACCGGGGACGCTTGCATGCCCTGGTTGAGATGTTGTGGAAAGGCGCCTGGGATCTGATTTTGACCAGCACCCGTCTGGGGCATCATTCCACTTTGGTAAGCGACCGCGGCCTGTCTCTCTCGGGTGTTTCTAATGTGAAGAAGCTTCTCGTTGCATTCTTTCTCGTATTCGATCTTCTCGTTAGCTTTGGTGAATGCTTTTAATTCGAAAGCCATGGCCGCCTGGGCTGCTTGGTGGAGATCGATGCGAGGCTGGATCAAACGGAGAGAGGTGATCCTAATACCCGTAGAGGTTAGACCAGACCAGATAACAATGAAAGCGCAAAGAAAGTTTGTCAGGTAGAAAATGCAACATACATTTGATACACATTTGTCGCCCGAGTCTTGATTGGAACCTCTGCCTTCCAACCTCCATACGGTCCCTGGTTTTGCAACATTTGCGCAACATAGGTCATCATAGCTTGCACACTGTCATTCTTTGGGACCTGCATGTTTGCATTCATCCTCATCGCAGTGTTCGGGGCTGGCCGGCCAGGCCCCGCGCCCGGGTTGGGGAACTCTCCGGGATTCATAGCGGACACCCCATCAATGGGGGATCAATGGGTAATCCGCGAAGTGGTTTATTGAAGATGGGCATTCGCTGGAGTACCACGCGCGACTGTGTAGAGGTCGTAATGTTAGTGATAAAGACGCAAGGAAGGTGTTCAACACGGGTTGCTGATCAGCGGGAGGGAAAAAAAAGGTAAGCAGGTGCTGGTGTGGAACCGTAAGTCGAGTCGATCAGGGAGGGTGGGGATGGGTGGAAAATGGACGAAACGGAGGACAGGAGGGACAGGAGGGACTAGAGGGAACCAACACCCACCAACACAACGAGGAAAGCAAGGCGTTCGGGCACCAGCGTCAGATGGATTCAATTCGCTGGCTAGCACCTGATTGTGGCTTGGAGCGAATGAGAGCAATTGTAAGGTGGATGGGATCCGTGACAGGGATCATGCAGCTCTCAAGTCGCACCGGGCCTCAGTTGCTGTCCTCTCTCTACACAATGGGCAAGAAGATTTGGTAGGAGAGAAAGAAGGTACTTACTAAAAATTAGAATAACACTGAGACAAAGAGACGAGGTGCACAGATCTCGAGCTGGAATGAGGGGGGAAAAAGAAAGAAGTGGCGGTCGAGTGAACGAGATTATTATGTTTTTTTTTCGTATTAAATGAATGAGAATTGACAGAATGAAATCAATGGACTATGTTTTATTGAAACCATCCCATTGAGGGTTTTGATTTAAGATGAATAGAATATTAGAATAATAGAATAATGAAGATGAATGGGCGTATCAATAGGCTGGTATTAGGATGTATCTATTGGTATTGCAATCTTACTACTATTTAGGGGGTATCACAAGGTTAGCTCCCCAGGTACTTACGGTTTTGCCCGGGTTTTGACTACTTGTCCAAGTATCCTTTTGTACTAGTAGGCTGATGTCTCATTTATTACATGTATTACAAATACAGCTGGAAATCCCGCCTGACGATCACTCACGCCGTTAAAAAGCTCAAAACACGTCGTCATCATGTGTGGATCTTAACGCCATATTTTACTTTGTATCTTATAATAGGACAATTACTATGTAAACAGCATGGAATATGTATATAAGATAACATACTTAGTAATATATCATATCAGTACGAGAAATTGGAAGAAATTGGGGTTTTATTTACTGTTAAATCATCGCAAATCTTTACCCCCCGAAAATAAAGAAAAGAAAAGAGGGAAAAAAAAGGGATTCATTTCTCAAGATCGACGAGGCGTTCTAGCCCTGACCTGATCCGGAGGTATCAATTGGTTAGAAAATGTCAGGAGAGCTGTGACTGGGTATCAGGTACTCCACTATACACTTGAGCACACGACCAAACCAAAGTCCCCAGTACTTAATACGGAGTAATTTGACACGGTTAGTCAGAACTTAAGTCAGCCACTCTCCTGGCCCCAAAACGTCAACTCCCCTCCCCGGATGGCCTGTTCTATATATACACACTTCTTTCTACCTTTCAACAACTTTCTATATCCGGTCGCCTCTTTCATCAGCGTCTTGGATATACCGCCATGAGAAACGGCTGAAACTTCCCCCTTTTTTTTTTCTCTCTCTCTCGTTAGCTTTCGCTGTTTCCTCAGCATGTTCTCCGTATCCGTGTCGCCCATCTCGGTGGGCTCGAACGTCTTTTTCGCATTTGCCCTGTTCATCATCTCCGCGCTTGTGTTACTTCTCCTGCGACGGTTTCTCACTCTTCGCGCCACCCCCGCGTATTTAAGTATTCCTATATTCCTAGCTTTAGCTCTACCTGCCAGTGTCGTGCTCCTTGTGCCCATCGATTTGGCGTCAAGTTCGCGAGATGGATCTGGCCCTACAGCAATCTGGCTACCCGAGCGAATGGTTCTGGTTTGTTGGCGCATTGCCTACTGGCTAATCTTCGTTCTCACCTGGTAAGTATCCTGCGTCCTTCGACTTGATAAGGCCGTCACTCATTACTGTCTCTCTTATCTTACAGGGTTATCCTCCCATTACTCGGTGAATATGTTGACTCGGGATACCGTGAGCCGAAAGGCCGACTTATTTACTCTCTTCGATCGAACGCCAGGTATCAGTTAATTGTCCTAGGCTGTGCTCTGGTGGGGCTGATCTACGTTTCGATCTCAAATGGTTTCGAGTTCAGATCTATCAAAGGTCTCGTCATGGCATTGGCATACGTCTGGGGTCTCGTCCTTGCCATCTATCTCATGGGTCACGGTCTTGTTTCGATCCCGCGCAATCTGCTCCGAAATTCCAATGTGAGCGGTCGGCTACGCAGAATTCAGGCACATGCGCCCAAGGTGCACGATCGCCTAATGGACTCAGTCAATGAATTAGCGAATCTCAATAGCCAAGTCTCTCAACTACAGCGCCGTAAGACGGGTACTGCTCGTGACTTTCAAGAATGGATTGAAGAGCTTGGGGAAGGGCCCGGCCAACCCGACGTGCGGGCCCCGATTCTCGAGTCTCCGGATACATCCGCCACGATACCTTCTGTCATCACGGAGCGCTACCTGGCCGACCTTACCCGACGACTTCGGCGTGCTCGGCACATGAAGGCCCGATTTGTGGATGAGTGGGATCGACTGGTCCAGTTATCAGCCGATCTCCAAGCCATCATCAATTCTGCAGCTTCAAAGAAGCTCGAATTTGCACCGACCGCACGTCGACCATCCTGCATCCCCCGGGTGAAATTGCTCAGCCCGTACATGCGGTATCAGCTGTATTCCAACGTCATCCCCTCGGTTAGACTGGCATCTGGCGCGTTCTTCGCAGTGGCATCGGTCTGCATTGTTTGGTCGGAACTGATTAAGTCTTTGGCGCCCCATCTCTCCGCCGTGAGTCTGACCGTGGTCCCCAACTGGAAAGATGAGCCAGTTGGCTTCGGTGGTCAACTCATAGCCTCTGCCTGGCTATTATACATGTGTTCGGCGGCTCTCGTCGGTGTCAGTGATGTCAAGGTATGGGGAAACCGCGCACTTGTCCGTCGTAATACCTATGGCGAGAGTGCTTGTTGGTACGCTGGTCTCGTGGCTCGGCTGACGGTACCAATTGCGTACAACTTCTTGACCTTCCTGCCGAAAGAATTTCGGCGGAGCACCACTTTCTACGAATTCCTTGGTAAACTTATCAATTTGACGCCCCTCGGGAAAGGGTTTGATTTCATCTTCCCGATCCTCATCCTTCTACCTATCTGCGCAACACTGTTCAACCTGTACGGTCGCATCAAGAACATCTTCGGGTGCGGCCTCGCAGAGGATGATGACATCCACGATGTCGAAAACAACCCTGCGGGGTATGGCATGGGTGGCTGGCGTGAGGGTCGCGACCTCATTGAACGGGAATTGAACGGCTTCGGTTCTCTGGCAGTGTCCTCTCGTGGTAGTCGCTCAACTTGGGCGTCGGATCGTGAAGATGAAGGGTCTCCCGGCTCGTCCCGACTGCGAGTCCCGGCTGCGGAGGGCTCTCAGCCTGCCCAGAGGACAGTGGCTGCGCCTACTATTGTAGACGGTGAGGATGAGGAAGATGAGAACTTCTTCCAGTCCTTTGCGCATCGCGTGAAAAACACCTTTGATACTACTAATACTCCTCGGTGGTTCCAGGGCGAGCCATTCCGGCTTCCGCGCTGGATGTCGAGTGATAATGATACCACAGAAGAAGCTTCGGCGCTGTTTGGAGGTCGGGCTGTGCCTGGTCGTCTACGACTGGGCTGAACACTTGCATTGCGGTGTTTGGGTCTCTTCAACTGCTGGACAGTGTAATATACGTTGTTTTGTTTGTACATAGCTTAATTCTTTTTCCTTTGTCTCGGTTGCTTGGATACACCAGTCAATTGTAATTGGGTATTTTTATAAAACATAAAATGACCCTAACAAAATGAATTAACTCCCTGATTTCCATGATAAGAAATAATCAAAAAGAAAAAAAAGATATGCCCTCGTCCAGGTTCGAACTGGAGACCTTCGGATAGCAATCTTGTTACCAAGATCGTCATATTTTAAATATGGAAGGGATATGAGACCGACGTCATAACCAACTAGACCACGAAGGCAACCACTAAGCCACTGGGACTTGTGATGACATAGCCAGAGATTTTATGATTTATAACCACTTGATGAAAAATGAAAATGAAGCCGAGCTTCCAGGATTTGTAAAATAGTTACTTGCACGTATAGGTGTGTAGAGTGAAGCTATATTTAATATTTTTCGATTTGAAAACTAGCAAACTAAATACTTAGATCAATGGTTCTATATCTACGGAGTACGGAGTACATAGGACTCATGGTCGTGGTATTTTAATCCCAATTTCTCCTTGGGTTTAGGGCTCCTCCTCCAAGGTTGGAAGCAATCTTAAAGGCTTATTCTTGAATATTAGTATACATACAGATATATGGATTATTTTCGGATTGTGATACTTTGCCAATCTTCTGAAATAATAATTTACCAAAAACAAATGAAGTTCGGTTTGTGATCGAGAATCAGGGACATGCCGATGTATCTTTTCTATGGTTTTTCATACAAAGGATACGGGTGGTTAGAGATCCAAAAATTGTACCCAACCAGTTAACTAGTCGAATATGACCCACTCACTCTCTCATATGGAATTATGAGCAAAAAAGAAATGCCCTCGTCCAGGTTCGAACTGGAGACCTTCGGATAGCAATCTTGTTACCAAGATCGTCATATTTTAAATATGGAAGGGATATGAGACCGACGTCATAACCAACTAGACCACGAAGGCAACCACTAAGCCACTCGGGCTTGTGATATGAGAGGCAGGAATTTATTGCATCATGACTCAAAACACACTTGAGGTAACTATGTGAAATTATTTTCAAAAATATCCTCATAAATCTGGCTCTAGTATTCAATCAAACAAAATTACCCAACAACAATCAAGAAACGTACATTTCCAATGATATGACCGGTCCAACACGATAAAATTGCTTCGATTAACAGAGTCAAGATACAATGGGTCACGAGAGTTACATTTCTGAGGAGTTTGGGAAGCCATAGAGCTATCTTAGAGTTGATATCATTCCTGTTGCCAACCGCCACATTGTGCGTTTGATATTTACGCAAAAAGGACCCAGGATTCGTGGCCACAACACACACATAACTGATTGTTTCATGCCATATTCTATATCATCTTTCATCCACTGCATGTAGAATTGGAAGGGAGTATGGTGCAGCCCTTTTTCCCTTTTCCCTTTTTCCTCTTTCCCCATTCTACGATGCTGTGCAAGAAGTTCCAACTACCCTTAAAGTCATAGAGGAAGGTGTAGGCATCAACAACAGACCTGGAAGCATACGAAGGAATGCAAATCTTATAATTATCGGCTCACAAACTCATCCTATCACAATATGGGTATTCGCTGCTTCACTAGTATTCTCCCTATCGTAAAGCCGTATACGTAGCCATGTAGGAAAGTTTCTCTGTAACTGCATTGGCCTGGTTTCCTTGTATAAAGGCCGGTTAGGGAGGGGGTATTATAGTGAAGGCCTTCACTTACCACCGGGATGGCGGAATGTATAATATATGTAAATATACACGGTCGTGGTCCGAGCGAAACCCAATAGATAGTATATGAATAGTATATATGTAGCTACTGAGGTAAATATCAGAAGATTGTCTATATAATTCATGGCAAGCGAGTAACAGCATGACAAGGAAATGGCACAGAACGATATAGTAAAGTAATCCCACATATTCTGCCTGATACGGTGGCCAATTAACTGTTCGGGTCAAGGTGAGGCTTGCTAATAGAGAAAAATCACCTAGATGACGTTAAGACAAAAATTCAAGTTTCAAACCTAGGAAATCGAACATAAACCGTCCTGGTAACATCAAACAAGCTAAACATACGTATTATAATCTAGTTCCCCGTAAGGGAGTTTGTACTGTGCTTGTTATGTATGGCACCACCGTCAGCCCTATCCCTCGAATGAATAATGCTGATGCTGTGATCAACCTACCCATGTACCTAGCAAAGTACATCCAATCCTAGGAAATCAGCAATTCGTTGCACAGTATTACTCGACACTCTGAGAGAGTTAGCGTAGGCAATCTCTCGCTACTAGTGCTCAACGTACAGTAGTCATAGATACTGAGCTGACATGTGCATGTTCCAACAGCTATGATGAGGCTTTTCTGTGCAACCTACTAGTTCATTGGTATATATCACTCGGCGCCCTTTTCAGTTCCATCGTCATTCTCCATACGACATTCATTATTTTACGTAGTCTCAAGCTCCCCCAGGGCCCGGGAAATATCATCAGAACTCTAGCGGTGATTGTACCAAGGCCATCCGCAACATCTTCCGACGCTACAAACTAGAAGATATATATTCACTTTGGTCGCCTCACGGGGATCCAGGCGCCCCCAGGATGCAATGTGAGGTGTATACACACCTGGGGGGTATAGGAGAATATACGGAGTAGAATAAATGTAAGGGAAAAATTCGATGTTCACATATATATATTGTAGTGGGGAGCGCTGGTTATTGTGCGCCGTAATATCCGTCTGCGAGCCAGACAACACCAACGCAGGTTGCTAAGTAGCGGAGGGTAGGAGAAGGAAACACAGGGGTATTTGGCAGAAGAGTAATGGGTTATTCTTTACCTTCTTCTAGTCTCCTCTTTCTATCACTTAAATATGCACGTGGCCCCGATGTATTCAGCGTAGCTAGCCTATGCCGCTATTCCGTAGTTCCCCTCTACATACCACCCCTAACAAATCGACTGTCCCTTGGCTGATACCTATAGATCATACCATTACCCTTTGAAAAACAACCCCATTAGGCGCATCGTGCGCAAACTCAGCAGACGTATGGTGCGTAAATCTGAGGTATCTTTTCGGAACAATTAAAACGAGTGTATGCGTGGCGTGTAAGATATCGTCGATATCGAATAACTAGAGGTAGAATCATTGTTCAGCTGAGGTAACATCCTTCCGTTGATAAGGTCTTTGAGACTGCCCCTCTTATTCTACCTTCCCCGATAGCCCGCCTGGTTAATACTACTCCCTACATCGGTCACTATATAAAGGGGAGAACGCTCGAGGCTGCGTGCTCTTGGGCAGACGGGTCGATTCAGCACTCGTAGCTCAGCGCTATACTCAACTAGCGCACAGAAGGAACTAGGGCGTGCTACCCAGGGAATCGATCCAGAGAGGTGTAAGAGTGTGTATTGTCAGTCTGTATCTATCTACTACTTACCTTCCGTTCTTCGATTACGGAATAAGACCGCGGAATAAAGAAAGGACAGGCAGGGTTAGTGATAGTAGAGGACGAGGTTTTCCCCTGCAATATATATACTATGACAGTGAGGACTCATGGGTGTTGTTCATGTGTTTGCCGGGGATAACCCAAGATCTGTATGATGGGTACCTGATTTGTACCTCGTCGAGGTGTAGGCCAAGGTAAGGACAAGATGAATGATGTGTGCCACATAACATATGTAGGGTTATAATCTGAAGATTGTTTATGATGTTGCTTATTTCCATGAAGCAACGCAGAGTGGGACTCGCAAGTTCCCTGATTCCAACAACCCTTCCTCTCCTTTTTTCCCTCCTTGTAACTGCACTCTTATCTTTGGAAAGACTGGCAGGTAATATAGGCATGTATAACTGAGTACAATAATAAATTGGTGGCTTCAGTATTGTGGACCCTTTCGGTCAATAAACAGCAGGTTACGGGTGACAAGCACACGCTGCCATCAGTATTTATTTCTATCGGAAAGGCGAGAAAAACAGACTTACAAAACTTAGTTGTTGATAGGTGAAAAAGAAAAAAAAGATATGCCCTCGTCCAGGTTCGAACTGGAGACCTTCGGATAGCAATCTTGTTACCAAGATCGTCATATTTTAAATATGGAAGGGATATGAGACCGACGTCATAACCAACTAGACCACGAAGGCAACCACTAAGCCACTTGGACTTGTGATGTCAAGGTTCACCATAGATGGCTATATACTTCATTACTCTTCAGCAAGCGTGGACATAGTTTAATATTGATATCTACTTTGAACGTTTCTACTCCGCACAAGAATTCACTACTGATTATAAATAATTAGTACTCTGCCGTTCTTAGTATATTATATCAAGTCAGCTGGTTTTTCAAACCCAATAGAAATCAACTAGATATATTCCTGTAGGGCTTTTTTTCTTCTTCTCTAAGAATGGTCCTTTCATCATATGTATATCATCCTCGCATACTATAAGAAGCGCCCCGTTGCTGTGGAGGAAGGTGATGGGTCGGTCAGTGTCCACGGGTGTACCTAAGGTTATCTCAGATAGTTAGTTATCGGATTATAATCACGTAGGAATATGTACATAGGTAATCGTCACTTTGGAAGTCGTTTTACATGTGTTTTTAGTGGTCTTTTTGGATCCCCTTCCCCGGTTCTATAGTTAAAGGGCAGAAAAAGGCGAGCGATGTATAAACCACATAGATAACTGTTTTGTGTTCACTGGAGACAGACGCTGGGATATTTGGTTAGCGGCAATGTCAATATCTTATGTGGCTGATGAACTATGTACATATGTGTCAAAAAAAGGCGGGGAACTGTATGACCCTACATGCATATATATATACACGCCGATCGAGGCCAGATTGGGTTACTCAACATCATGAACGAGCCTCCATACTACAACGAATGAGAACCTACCTTGCTGATATATCAGGAAAAGGCACCCAAAAACCCAGAACCATGGGAAATATGTCAGCATATACAGGATATTCTTGCGATATAAGTTAGTATATTCGTGACATCTGCCTCAGGCCTCAAGTATCGCCACACTTCCAGGCACCCCCGAGGTACACAAGGCAGCCCTCGACCTATCCCAACCATTCCAAATACCGCCAAATTTCTAACATCAAACGAATCAACTTGAAATCACACGTACCACTAGGCAGACAGGCTCTTGTTGGGATTACACCAATTGCTCAATGTGACGGCAAAAAAAGTACTCTCCGCCTTATCTGCCTATTCCGGACTACCTGGGGGCATGACTTCACAACCACCTGCTATCTCTTCCCCTCCACAGAGATCCATGACTTTACTGCCCCCGACCCTCGCTCAGTCCACCCTGGGGGAGAAGTGCGCAGTATATATAGACCACCTCAGCGACATTTTCCCCGTTCACCTACATTCCCTCCGCCATCAACTGGACCCTATTCTCACATACCTGTCCAACACGCCCCTCGGTCCTCTCGCGAAAAAGCTGCCATTTGCTCCCGACAACCAACTTCTCGCCCTCTTTGCAGCTGTTGTTGTCTGCCTGTTCACCGTCGTGATGAGTTGGCGCAACCCCTTAAAAATGCTACGCCGCTCGCCGAGCTACGCCCCCGCATCAAACCCACAGGTTAGCGATGGGGACTTCAGCTACATCACACCTGCAGATGTCGCGGGCCCATCAATAGATGATGCTGAGCCTGATATTATTGCCCTCCGCCACCGTGGAACCATCTACCCATTGCACTTCCGCGCATACGCGATCGACGACGGTGTCCTGACCATCGGAGACCTACGAGAGGCTGCTGCTAAGAGCACAGGAGCCGGCCACCCAGACTACGTGAGACTGCTGTACAAGGGCAAGCTACTCAAGAACAACGCGCAGACATGCAAAGCTGAGGGGATCAAGCAGCACTCTGAGGTGTTATGCGTTGTATCTGAAGTAGGCGCAGGCTCGAGCGATGGCTCTGACGACAGCGGACAAAACATTCCCGTGACTACATCAGCGCCAGCACCACCGCCGCTCGCCCGCCCGACTAGTGCAGGAGAAGCATCATCCCCTCCCACACCCCCGAGTGGTAATAGCAGGAGCTCGAGAAGAAAGAAACGCAATGCCAAGAAGTCGCCTGTCGGCACAGCATCACCGGGTCCGTCTCGGCCACCGCGGCCTACGTCGTCAGGCAATTCAGGCGTCCCAGCCCCCCCGCCCAACATCAAGTTGCTGCGTACGCCGCTGGAACAGGTCACTGCTTTGGCCGAATGGTTCCAGTATGAGATGAAGCCGCTTTGTGAGGAATACATTGCGAACCCGCCTAGTGACCCGAAGAAGCGGGACTATGAAAATAAGAAACTGGGCGAGACGATTCTCACACAAATCATGATCAAGGCGGATGGAATCGAGCCAGATGGCGATGAGACGGCCCGCAATGCACGCAAGGCCCTCATCAAGGATACGCAGGCGACTCTCAACAGGCTGGATGCAGCTGCAAAGCTGTAACAGAGCATACCAGTTGCCTAATCGGCTCTCGGCCGGCGCTCGGCTTCCTATGCATACTTCTAGGGGATTTGAAATGGGTTACAGACATATGTAGACATGTACAACATATGTATCTCATATCAGATGACTGCTTTAAGGGCCAGATTTCCATTTGCTGGGACTATGCACCCCTCGGGATGTTTCTTTACATGGAGGGCATGTTTGTGATATATCAACTTTGTTCTCCAAGGGCTTAAACCCGCCGGAAAGATTTGCCGGCATGTATATGTACACACTTTTCTCCGTCTTTTCTTTCATGTAGGTATACACTAACTAAGTGGGGGAAAGTCCAAAGAAATACCTTCGCCCTTATCGCTGTGCTCTGTATCAATTTTGGCATCTCGAGGTGATCAACATGGTTCAGGGGCAATGCACGGTCCAAGAGTAAAAGTTGCGAGAATCCTTAGAAATTTTTTATTAAATTATAGTCTATTGAACATTTAGAACGATTATTGATTAATATGTAAGATATAAATATGATGCATGGGGAATATGCATTAACAAATACCGTATAACATATATTAACCTACTCCGTACGGGAAGTACCTAGTAGAGTAGTTGAAGCCTCTCTCGGACTTGGTCTAGGCAATTTCCAGTAGTCTGGCTACTTACTTTTCCTTCCTACACTCTCCCTCTTTTTTTTTCCCTCTCTCTCTTCATATCTTGACATTCTCTTCTCTACATTCTCTTCTCTATTCTCTACATTCAACTTTCATTTTACCCCCTTACTACGTTGGTAACGGTATCCTTGTCTCAACCTCCCGAACCCCGCGAGACCTCGAGGAAAGCCTCTACGGGACCAGTCCCTCCAGAACCAGGACAGCTCTTGTTAAACCAAACCGGAAAAACTAGGCAAAACTCGTGGACACCCCCTGCAGTTGTGGTCAACCTTAAGAGTGTGTTGACAATTTGCTGCTTTCGGTGTACCCCCTTACACTCCACCTTCCGACTCTTATCTGGAATGGCTTGAGCGGACAAACCAATTTCCACGGCAATCCCTACTATTGAACCGGGTTGCAGCTGGACTGGCCTTTTCGTTTGTGAACAATAATATCTGGAATGGCGGGCGTCGCTACAGCAGCATATTCTGCAGATGGCTTAGCATCGCCCGTGGATGGCTCGCAATGGGAGTTTGCGGTGCCGCTTACGAGCGAGGTAAGATTATTCCGTGTGGCACTCCCAGTCTCTGATCTGGTAGCCCAAGAATGTGGAGGTGAAAGACCGCGCTGATCCCCTTTTCCCCGCAGGAGAGCCACCTATCGAAACAACGCAACTCACACGACTCGAATTCCATCCGCGCAAAATTTTCTCGACAGCGTAACTCGAACGGCTCACGCAGCTCTTCGGTCTCCCGTACCATCCATGCGCACGAATCGCCCTATTTAGCCTCAAACCGAGGACGGAGGGAACCCAGTCTCAACCGACATGGGAGTGAATTAGGTAGTATGCGAGATGCCTTTGGTCACGAGGCAGTCGGCCGTAAAGAGCCCGAGGATGGCAATGATGGTCTTAAATTGTACCTGGACGGAAAAACGAATCAGGAAAAATGGATCCACCGAGACAAGCTGGCAAAGATCGAGAGTGAGGAGCTCCACCAGGCGGCCATCCTCTTCCAGCGACGGATGAGAGGAGAAAGCAAATCAAGCGCGGGACGTGGGAGAAGCCATGATTCACAGCCTAGTGGGACTGGTACGGCTACCTCACCTACTACAGAATACTCCGAACCATGGCCGAAACTGAGAGAAGAACCTGTCAAGCAGGATGTGAATGACAATCAAGGTGACTATGAACGGGAACATTGGGATCTCCGCCGACCAGAGGAGATTGCTGCGGACGATGCGGCCGCCAGCATCTACAGCCATCCAAGCCTTGGAAAAAGTGCGTCCCGAATACCCGTCTCTACAGTTAGTCCAGTTCCCATATCCTTGGGTCGCGATTCTCGCAGTTCACGGAGCCGTGCCGCAACAGATGAAGACGACCGGTCTTCACGGAGCCGCAGAGCTAGTGAGCCTATCAACATTGAGCCGGATGCTTCGACCCCTTCTCCAGAAAGTCGACCAGACAGCCGCGGATTCAGCGGTCCACAAAACCCCCCGGGCAAGAAGATAGTTAAGAACGCCAGCTCCACCACCAGAAAGACCTCTGCTCCACCCGCGAACAGGAAGGCGAGCGCTCCCCGATCTCGTGCTGTATCTGGTAACAACACACAACGCCCTACCACCCGGTCAGGTGAAAGTCGTCCTCCTACAGCCGCTAACCGGCCCGAAGGAGACCCGCCGTGGTTGGCAACCATGTATAAGCCCGACCCTCGCCTTCCACCAGACCAACAGATGATCCCGACTGTCGCCAAAAAGATCATGCAGGAACAGTGGGAAAAGGAAGGCAGGACACCGAACACATACGACCGTCACTTCGCGCCCCTCGCAGTGCACCCATTCGACGCACCACCTCCTGTGGCCCCCAAGGTCGAACCAGAAGAGCAGCCAGTCGAATCTGAGCCTCTGCAACTCGAAGAGTTGCCGCCTCAGTCGCCTCAGTCGCCTCAGTCGCCAAAGAGCCCAGAACCACCCCGCCCGAATACCAGTACCGGATACAGCACCATGCCAAAGGTGCAGGACACCCCCCCAATGGGATTGCCACCCAACCCCAACCCCAACTGGAACCCTCCAGTTGTCACCGCGCAGCAGCCACCAAAGAAAGAGAAGAGCTGCGGATGCTGTATTGTTATGTGATGGGACTCCTACTCTACAACTATCTGTCCAATTTCTCGTCGATCTTCTCAACATACCTTTGATATTTTGCACATCTGCTTGATTCCCTTCTCTGTTATTATTTTATTTTCAGCGTCTCCGGCGGGATGGTGTTCTGTCGGTTTTGTTCTGTGACTTTATATCCCGCGATCCAAGGCATTTCTTCGCCTTGAGCTCAGTTTTCTTCAGATTGCTTTTTAATCCGACTTATTTTCTTCAACACCAGAGCATGGTTATTCAAATTTTTTTTTCGCCCCCATGCATCCGTTCCTTGATATTTATCTTCTCTTCTCCTGTGATAATTGCAATTCCTACCGAAGTGGTAGGAGACTCCAAAAACCTGCTTCAGATTATGATGGATGGGATGGGAGCGAGGGACGCCCGCCTCGCAAGAAGCATAAATTGAGATGTACGCCTCTCCATTCTCATCCCACACCTGCCGCTGATTTACCTGACCCTATGATTTCCTTTACTTTCTCCAATCTTTGGATTTCTCTCTGAAATATCTTTGAAGCCTGTTTCCCCATATTCCCAAGCCTTCTTGCTAGCGATTTTCTCCTCTTTCTTTGATCTGATTGCCAATTGGCAAGAGCAGTCCGGTTCTTGGATTTGCTCGCATGTCAAATGCCAGATAACTGTTTACGGAGTTAATCAGATGTCGAGTTGAATGGATGAATACATACCTGCACATAATTGCTACTTGTACTTGTAAGCGTGTAGATACTGCGCCAACCGGCTTCCTAGTAAATTGTAATTGGTAGCCATTTACGAACTACACTTCATATCTCCATACGAAGTACATGTACCTAGCCTACATAGTATGTAGGGCATATGTAGCTATTACCTGGAGTGGACAAGATAAACAAAGTCTCCGTGTCGGCGCGGGGAGCTCCCCAGCTGACAAATATCACCTGACATCATAGGCGCATCCAATCCCGCAATCTTGACGGAATAGCCAACCGGTTCTCTCATCTTTTTATCTGTACCCCGCCCGAATATCCTATAAAAGAGACACCACTGCCTCTTCCCTTTTTGCCACAAACCGCCCACCATTTCGTCCATCTTTACCCGTCTTTTCGGCTCCTTCGCCGGCCCAAATCCTGCCGCCATGTCCGCCGCAAAGACCCGTGCTCAGTCCCTCATTAACGACAACGCTGTCGTCGTTTTCTCCAAGTCATACTGCCCCTACTGCGACTCTTCCAAGAAGCTGCTCGACAGCTTGGATGCTAAGTATACTACTCTCGAGCTGGATCTGGAGGGTGAGTCTTTCTGTTTTTCTTTTTTGCGTTGCTTCTTATATTCTTCAAGAAGAGTCGTTTTAGTTTTGATTCTATGTTTCCGAGACATCTTTATCTCTCATTCCCAAATCAATCGCTAACATGTTCTTATCACAGAGGAGGGAGCTGCTATCCAGAGTGCTCTCGCTGAGATCTCAAGCCAGCGCACCGTGCCCAACATCTTCATCAACAAGAAGCACATCGGCGGTAACTCTGATCTCCAGGGCAAGAAGGACCTGAAGGAACTTCTCAAGGAAGCTGGTGCGATCTAAGCGGGGATGTCACACAAGCAAGAACTTTCCGAGGCCTGAGTCTTGAATATAACATAAGTAGGAAGTTTTTTAATTGCACACAGTATTTGCCTCCTATCTACCATCTATATGTCCGTTAGGTTTCCTTTCTTAGGCCTAGTAGATCTATGATACGGGAAAATATTTCCATAGCTTGGAATTGGAGGGATCAAGAGAGTCCCGCCATCTTCCAGCGTTAGAGGTGTATTGAGTGGAGCGTTGCCATACGGCTCTGGAGTATTTTGTAGAGTCCACCGGAGATAAAAAAGCGTAATAGCGACCAAATAACGTACAGGTATGTTAATACAAACAAACAAGACCAAAATGATAGCCCGATCAATCAGATCAGATAACCTTCTGCACAACAGTTCCAAGGGGCCTCTCGACAATTGTCATCAACCCTTCGACAATACTCGTCCGGGCCCCTTCACTAGAAACATTCTTGCCAGCCAGATAATTCAACCAAACAAGTCGACTAATCCGCTCATCAGCAACGCGTCCCATCCACTTAACGGGCTCATTAGCCCCGGGCTGGAAAAGCGCATCCAAAGCGCCGTGCGCATCGCGCATCAAAACAAGCGTCTGTCCCTTCGGCACTGACTTCCCCTTCCCGGCACCGAAAACAGCCTTGAAATCATTCATCGAGCTTCCAAAGCTCTCATCCTGGAACTCGTTCGGCTCCGCAGACTTCTTCGCCTGCGCGCGCGCAGTGATACCGCGCACCCAGCCGTCGCGCAAATGCATAAAGTCCGTATTGCGGGTAGGCACGATGCGGAACGCAGTGCGGATACCGTTATCCTTGATGATAGCACTCCAGGCGGCGTCGCCGTGTTCCGGATCAAGGAGAAGATCCTTGAGCTGCTGGCGCTCTGGCGAGACGAGGGAGGTAGCTGCCTCCGCGCCGACACCGGAAAGGGCGGCCTCGGCGTCGGTAGTGGGTGGGTGGACTGCTGTGCGTAGAAGACGGCGTTGCAGCTCAGTTATGTCTGATTTCGCGACATACAGGCCGACGACGTAGACTTGGACGGAAAGGAAGGAGACGGTGCGGATGCCGAGGCCTAGCAGTTGGTATTCTTCGCCTGTGGATGGGGCGATGTCGTCGCCTGTTTGCTTGCCTTCTGTCGCTTCGGATGAGGGGAGACGGATTGTGCTTGGGAAGGTGGGGATTGTGCTTGTTCCTGTTGGCACTTGCTCGAGTCTGTCTTGGCCTTGGATTGTTATTAATGATGGGCCGCCGCTAGGGAAACCGACTGGTCCATCCATGCGCATTGCGCCGTTCTTCGGGGGTGCGGGTGTGGTCTTTTCATTCTTGTTGGCCTCTAGTTCGTTAAGTCCGAATACGTCTAGCTTGATGACGCCGTAGAGACCGGCTGCGCAGGTGATCATGCCAAGTGCGGAGAAGATCATCTTCCGCTGGGCTTGAGAGGCGTGTTGAAGATCTGCCGCCGCGGAAGCTCGGGAGCGGAGGGGATTATTGGTTGCATTGGAGCGAATGGAAGTGGTGGAGAGATGTCGGGAGGAGAGACGTGTTGTGCGGAGTTGTTGCCGGCTGAGGCTTTGGTAGGCCCGCCATGGGTTCTGACGGAGGGTGGAGGCCATTGTGAGCTTGGTTCGTTTGATGAGGAATGTCGAGGGCAGGATTGGCGGGTGACGGAGATGGAGTGTGGGGATGCACGTGATTATGATCTACAAATGCATACTTTTTACCGTCTTCGTATAGAACATCTGAGAAGACGACCAAAAACATTACAAGGCCGCCTAACTGTTTTTTTTTTAAAATTTTTTTTTGTAATTCAAAAGGGTTACAAAAGAGCGAATGTCTCGGCATTTCAGGCTATGTAATACCCTATTTCTGCATCATATAATCTCATTTTGGGGCCCTGGGGGTGTTTTCAACTAAGAACTGGCAGAATTTCGATTGAAAAGGCGGAAAGATCAAATCGATAGAATCGATCAAATTATAATATGTCGTTAGGTCAAGTAAATCCATACAAATTACTTCGTACAGAGATTTGCAAAATTACACAGGTACAAATTTGATATTACTGTAACTTTCGTTGACCTTGCAGGGGGTTAGGTAAGAATCATAAAAAGTGGAGCCAATAATAATAGTGGAGCACACTAGTCCTAATTGGGAACAATATCTTCCTATAAATATCAGAGAAGAACAAGATATTTAAAGCCTCGCCCAGGTAGCCCAGCGGGAACCGCTTCAGACCCTGCGCCTGTAATTGACCGTTTCGGCGGGACTCTTACCGTGTAGGGAGCCGGAGACCTCGGGTTCAACCCTCGCATTTGAACTTGATCAACTCAAATCGGGAGACGACTTCACGGCTTCTTCCCGTGGTCAGGGCTTGCTCGTAAGTCATTGGCCGATGTGACCGCCACTCACACCCCGTCGGCAGCAAGGCGCCCAGGTTGTTGAGGTGCCCCTTTGGGGCCTTTTTTTTTTTTTTGCTGCTGCTGCTGTTGTTGTTGGTTGATGTTTGCTTTGGTCTATGTTTGTCTATCAACAGATGATTTTGATGTTCTTGGATGATTATGAAATTTAGATCTCCCATTAGCACATTCAGTGTATGATCAATATTTATTTGACAACAATCTTATGAGAGCCCCCAGTGACCTCAACAGTTGCAGTACCGTCAACATAAGCCACCCCTCTCATCAACCGGTCACCATCAATCGTAATAGATTCCAACCTTGGAATATGTAACTATAGTATGATGTTTCTGAGGTTACCCTATGTAATATTGAAACTATTTAAAGGTTACTTGCTTGATCTTCTTTTGGCCTTATCTTCACCTTCTTTTCACTTCTTTGATTGACTATAACCAAGCTATAATGTCAGAGGAAGCAGTTCGACCTGCCTTTGAAGGCCGTGACTACCCACTTATTTCCTATGGCATCGCCTTTCCCGCAGCCATAGCCCGTCATCTTAATGACATCTTCCGGGCTTCCCGAGTATATGTCATCTGCTCAGGCTCATTGTCGCGAAATACCGATGTAATGAACCAGCTGGAAACCGCTCTGGGACCAGATAAACTGGTTGGTCGTCGGATTGGTATGCGGAGCCACACCTTGTGGTCAGAGGTGTTGCAGATTGCCGAAGAGGTTAGGACTGTGCAGGCCGATCTTCTCTTGACTGTTGGAGGTGGCAGCTTGTCTGATGGTGCCAAGCTCATTGCATTGGTTGGTATACCTTTTCTTTCATATTTTCATTTCTGTTTATACTCTCCTCGCCTCTTTTTATTTTCCCGTAGAGGGGCATACTCCAATTTATTGACTCTCAGCCTAACATCCCACTTAGGTTGTCGAGAATCAAATCAAAACACCAGAAGAGCTTGAAACCCTTGCAGAAGGTCCCCAAAAGCGACTAGAAATAAAAACACCAACTCTCCCGATCATTTCCGTGCCAACATCTCTCTCCGCTGGCGAATACTATAACTTTGCAGGTGGCACGGACGACCGCACAAAGCGCAAACACGCCTTCAAACATCCAACTCGCGGACCCAAGCTAGTTATCCTCGATCCGGAGCTGGCGGAAACAACCCCCGATTCAGTCTGGCTCAGTACAGGTGTACGCGCAGTTGATCATTGTATCGAAACTCTGTGTGCCATGTCAGGTACCACTGCGAAATCAGATAAACTGGCTCAGCGTGCGCTGGGAATGTTGGTTCCTGGTCTCTTGCGCTGTAAGAAGGACCGATCAGACCGTGATGCTCACCTACAGTGCCAACTTGGATCCGTGGATGCTATGGCGGCCTGGACTGAGGGGCCAATTGATTTGGGTGCTAGTCATGGGATTGGACATCAGGTATGTGCTTATTTTCTCCTTTTTTTTACCTTCTAAGGTGTCTACAGATGCACCAATGGGCCTGACTAACAGCTATATAGCTTGGTCCACTGGGCGTTGGCCATGGTGAGACTAGTTGTGTCTTGCTCCCTGCTGTGTGCAAGTACAATGCTAAGGACAACGCCAACCGCGAAAAGCAAGCTAGCGTACGCCAATTTATGATTCAAGATCCGGTTGTGTCTGAGGTGGTACGTTCCCGCTCGGTCAACGTGGAAGCATCCGACTTGAGCGATATCTTGGATGCTATCATCCGCGAATTGGGAATGCCTCGGTCCTTGAGCGATGTCAAAGTCGGACGAGACCAGTTGGATGAACTGGCAGAGAATAGTCTACATGACCATTTCTGCAAGACAAACCCAGTGCCACTGAACGAGAAGTCTCAGGTATTGGAGATCTTGGAAATGGTAGTTTAAACCTTTAGAGGTATAAGATAAACATAGGATTGAATCATATCACTTTTTCACACTCAGAACATTTGAATAATCAGCGGCTCCCCAACTCTCAAATAGCCCACCTATAAGTTCAGTTACGTGAGGTCATAGAAGCTTTGACCCCGCGTTCTATAGAACATAGGTATCGACAGATATGAGTGAGCAAAACTCGCCATTTAAGCTTGGAAAAGTATCATGGCCTACGCATAGAAAAGAGATGTATGTGATCATTCAATTTTCGTTTATATCTCCAATTTCCAATAAATATTTTTGTGGTGATGAAGATCTATATATCTACACTAGAAACATGTAAACATCCTAACCACCTACCTAGACACTTTCAACCCCAAGTACTATATAACATGTTCTTTATTCTCCGATCTTTAACTAAAATGGCAATTAAGTATTAACCTTGAGAAGCTTCCCTCAATTGATTGATAAGCAGGATCCCCACGGGTGGGACACCCCACATTGAATGCTGTACATAAGTTTGCGCCGTCTCCGGAGCTACACTATTAGCAACTTCTTCACTTCTCACAGCAAAGCTATACAATCATGTCTCTCGCTAAGAACATCCTCATATTCGGCGCAACGGGTAACATTGGTGCCTTCATCCTGGACGCCATCCTGCCCGAGCGCTCCCAATTTGGCCGAGTTGTCATCTTCACATCCCCACACACAGCGGAAACCAAAGCCGCACAGCTCAACAAGCTGAAAGAGCAAGGCGTAGAAGTGATTGTGGGTAGTGCCGAAGATGAGAATGCCGTGAAAGCAGCATACGAAGGTAGGAAACCGTTTCTTTATACCATTCCATGCATAATGACACAACGAGCATCCTCAAATGTCAAATTGTACAAGCCAAAGGCTAACCACTAAGCCAAACAGGAATCGATACTATAATTTCAGCCCTGGGCCGCAATGCACTTGCCCAGCAGATTCCCCTCATTAGACTCGCAGCTGCCAGCACCAGTGTGAAATGGTTCCTGCCCTCCGAGTACGGCACGGATATCAAGTACGGGCCGGCTTCGGCGAACGAGAAGCCGCACCAGCTGAAGCTGAAGGTACGCGCGTACATTGAGAATGAGATCTCGCGCGACGACCTCGCCTATTCATATGTAGTCACTGGGCCATTTGCAGAGATGTATCTTAATCTCGTGCCTGGGAAGGAGGAGGCCGGTGGGTGGGATGTTAAAGGGCGGAGAGCTGTTTTGTTGGGCGAGAAGGGGAAGGGAGAGGTTAGTTTGACGACGATGAAAGAGTAAGATTCCTTTTCCCTTTTGCTTTTGGTGTTTATCTCGTTGGGATGGATGGACTATTGGCTGACTATTGCGCTAGTGTTGGTGTTCTCGTCCTGAACACTTTACTTCATGCTACGGCTGAGACGCGCAACGCTGCGCTGTGTGTTAACTCGTTTACCACGAGCCCTGACCAGATTCAGGCGGAATTTGAGCGTCAGCTTGGTGGTCAGCCGTGGGATGTATCTCGCACATCGTTGGAGAAGTTGCGCGAGGCGGAGGCCGCGGCGTGGGAGGCTGGGCACCCGGCGGCTACTGTGTTGACTTTGCGTCGGATTTGGGGTGAAGGTGGGACGCTTTATGAGAAGCGGGCTAACGGGTTGATTGGAGAGCCGAAGGTGATGGGGCTGGAGGATGTGGTTGCGAATGAAATCCAGAGGGTATCGAAGTTGTAGATAATTTGCTTTCATTTTGTTTCTACCAATACTTTAGCCATATCCACATCAAAGGCCGACATTAGATCTACATGAACATCACGCACACTGTGAAACTCAACGTCTAAAGCTGATGGCATTCGTACGTAGGAGCTAAAAATTAAAGAAACGAGTCGGGGGTTCGGGTAACTTCAGATTTCACATGACCGAGGGGAATGATTGGGGAAATAATAAAAAAATGGGAAAAAGCTCTGCCGGATATAAAACGAAGGTCTGAGCTTTATTGGAAGAACTTGCGCACTCTTTCCTGGCTGGCCGGATCCACAGCAGCCAGAATCTGGTCTGCATTTGCGCCGGTCGCTGCCACCAGCTGCTTGGCGGATGTGGCCACCCGGGTAGCGGTCTGACCCTGTAGGGTAGCAGCCTCGAGTGCCTGCACGATGAAACCGAAGACACGGTCAGCCTTGGCGAAGACAGCCGGGTTTTGCCTAGTAGTAATATATTAGCACAAGTATGAGGGGGTTTTGGTCAAGAAACGTACTGGTCAATCAACTGTGCAATGAAGGAATAGGCATATGGAGCGGCCTCCTCGTCGTAGGTGATGGGCAGAGTCTCGATCCAGTTAGTCACGACATCCTGGGGAGCCTGAACCTTGGATGGGTTGTAGTGCAGGATCTTAGCAATACTGGCAGATGCATTCTCCGTCGCGAACACGTTCTCTTCTGTGCGGGATTGCGCATGCTGTGTAACCTGGAACAAGCTGGGGAGGCTGGCTGCCACAAAGTCGCTCCAGGCGGCGCCGCCCTTCTGTGCGGCCACACCGACTCCATACGCCGCTGCCTGACGGTTGGCGGCATTCTCATCTCGCAGACCAGAAGCCAAAGGCTGCATGATATGGTCCTTGAATGCCCACGACTCTTCGCCACAGAATTCAAGCACGTCATCCATGATGCAAAGAGCCCACTGCCTTTGTGTCGGGTCTTGACTTGTGATGAAAGCATCATAGAACGGAATCAATTGCTGCCAGGTTGGCAGGAATGTGTTGCCCTGGTTCTTAAAGATGGTGTGGAATGCCTTGTTCATATCACTCAATAGGTTTTGATCGTCCTCGACGGCGTACTCAAAGTCCAGGTTCTCCTCGTCACCATCCTCGAGCTCGGCCTGCTCCTCCAAACGTTGCTTGACACGCATCTGGTAGTCCTCAAGGGTCGACTTCGCCGATTCAATGAACGCCTGCAAGTGCTGGGGAGTGAGGGAGTTCCTGCCAACTACCTCCACTGACTCGTAGAAGCACTGGTACATCTCAGCCAGGGTATCAACTGTCGGCTCAGCACTCAGAACTTCGATGATCTTCTCTGCAACCTTGTTCCACATTTCAGCGAAGCCCGGCGACTGGCCGCCGTGTTTCTTCTTGTAGGAGTTCAGCAGCTGGGGGATCAGCTTGGCAGCCGACACTCGAACGGGGTCGTGGAAGAAAAAGGCAAGACCAGGGACTGCGATCTTCTCCATGGTTTCCAGAACGTAAGGCTCAAATTTCTCCTCGAGAATTTGGGCGTAAATCGTGATCAATTCGATAGCAGTATTCTTGTCTTCAAGAGCACTGGTCTTGATACCGATAATCTTGCCCTTGAGCGGCACAAGCTCCCAGCCATCATCCTGCTCAACCTGTTCGATCTGTTCCTCGTCATCCAGCAGCTGAATATCAGCCTTGGCGGCAGCCACGGTTAGGAGAGGAGGCATAACACCGGGGAGATAAGGCACGAAGTCTTGGCCGAGAACGCGGCACATGCGGCCCCAGCAGTGGAGGAGGTACTGTGACTGTGGGTCATCAGCGTCGACGATGTTTTCCTGAATGCGACCGAGAATTTGCACAAGGTTCAGGGCGTCTTGACCCATCTTCTCCTTGCCAACGGCCAGTGCGATCAGAGTAGCACACTCCATGGCCTTGGCACGAAGAAGGCGGTACTCCTTACCCTGTTCCTCCTGGAGGACATTGAGCAAAAGAGGCATCAGAGTAGTATAATACTGATCGAAAGCGGCCTCGGCGGAATCGGCAATCGTGGCGATGGTGGACAGCGCCTGCTCCTGTAGATAACGCTTAGGGCTGCGCAAGAGATCCAGGAGATGGCTGAGGAGGTTTCCAAGGTATGGCTCCAAGGTACTGCGCTCAGCCTCCTCGCAGAAGTTGACAAGAGCGGCGGCAGCATGAGACTGCACACGCGGCTCGGTAGAGGCGAGGACGGGAATGATGTTAGTGAGGACAATCTCGTGATACTTCTCCTGCATGGTACCGGCAAAGTCGGTACTCATCTGACCAAGAGCATTGCAGCCTGCATAGCGGACTCGAGGGTGGGGGTCTTGTAGGGCAGGAACAACAAGCGCTAGAACCTGATCCAGCTCACCAACCATCAAGTCACGACAACCTTCAGAGATGGCGGAGATAGCCATCAAAGCAGCATGGCGGTCACGCCAGTTGGTAGACGACATCATGCGAGGAATCCAAGAGAATGCAGGTTGGAGGATGGCCTGTCCACCCAGTTTGTTGGCGAGACGATCCATGCATTGTTCACCGGCGATGTGGTTGAGATCGTTCTCTTCAGGTTCAAGCTGTGACTAGTAAGTGGCATGTCAATTATAACAACAGAAATGCTAAAACTTACATCCTCAGACGCGTTCCATTCCTCCGCATCGTCGTCATCTGCACCGACATCAGTCATCAGACTCAGACACTGTGTGACCATTTCCTGTGCGAACTCCGGCTCCTTCTTGCACATGTTCGGGGCGTAATCGGCAAATGTAGCCATCAATTCGAGAGCGTTCTGGCGCACCTGGTCGCTGAGTTCCTTGTCGCCAATGACACTAATGCTGAATTTAACCAAGTTGTTGAACATGACTTTGAACATTTTTGGGCTGATTTCAGCCAACTCGATCAAAGCGAGCAGTGCTGAGGACAGCTCTTCGCTCTCAGAGGACTCCTTGAGAGGAGGAAGGATGTTGAGAAGGTCGGGCATGAGACCAAAGAATTTAGGCTGGGACTTTTTGGAGATCGACCGGAACAACGAAGCGAACGCTTCCATAGCGGAGATCCGCACCTGATGAAATGGTCAAAATTGAGCTTGAAGGAAATGGGAAGATGTCAACATACGGATATATTATCGTCCTTGAAGCCCTTGGTGAAAACCTCCACGACAGCTTCTTCGTGCTGCTTCTCAATGATCCCGGGGGTGGTCGTGAACACGCGGTATGCGGTCTCCCGCAGGCCCGAGTCAGGGCTCTGGCTTGCCTGGAAGAGAACACCAAGAAGTTCAGGCCA